CTCTGTTCTCCCCAGCTCTGTTCTCCCCAGCTCTGTTCTCCCCAGCTGTGAGTCTGTTTGAAACAAGGGTTTGTCTGCATGCAAATACGTGCTGGCTCAGTGCACGTCTTCCCTTTCTGCAGAAAATGGGTGTCCTTTTCAGTGAACGAGGTTACCTGTGGTGCAAAGGTGACTGCTGGAAGTCAGGGTTCTGTTCTGTGTTGTTTGAGCTTTTTCAGTTGCCCTCAGCCATTTCGTGTTGCTGCTGGAGCACAAGGCTTAGAAGTTCTGTGCTATTTCGGTATGCATACACTTGCCCTTTTGCTTTTGTCCCCCCTTGTGGTGCCTTTTTGGTTAACTAAAACTGACATAATTCAAACTAAAGCATAGTCTGGTTTGGCTGCCTGGCTTTGAAGTAAAACCTTATGCTAAACCAGGGCAAACAGGGCGATGCTCAAAGCCCACATGTCCAACTCCATGCATACTGCCTGCTGCTTTAACTGCTTCCTTGGTAGCTTTGCAAGTTTTCATCCTGTAACATGGCTCTCATCTCTTCAGAAAGGAGTTAAAGCAGTTTTGTTGGCTAGCAACAGCTTCTGCTTGCAGTTGTTTTGCTCAGAGCTGAAGTTTTCTTTCCTGATACCAATCTAATTTACCGCCAGAACCAGAAATGCTGCAGTGCAGCAAGTGGTGTTTGCTTAAAAGCAGCAGATTCATGAACCAGGCTTTGTAATAACTGTGTTATTTTGTGCCTCTGAGGAAGTAGGCTTGTGTTGGTTTGATAACATTTGATGATAGCCCTGCAAACTGGAAATCACAAGACCAAATCTTCAGAGCGCAGAAAGCAGCTCTGCTGCTGTCAAAGCATTCACTGTGGCAGCTGAGCATCTGACCCACATCCCTCCTTGCATTTGCATTGTTGGAGAACATGGCAAATCTAACCTCTGTGCCACAGATGCACAAAATGTGTTTTTTTACTTTCCCTGCAGTACGTAATGGAGCCAGCTGCCAAGCGTTTCAGGCTGATATTAAAGGCTTGGTTTGTGTTGTAGTTCGGAGAGGATAAGTCTGCAATATAGCACAGTTTAAAACGTTTTCCAAGTGTTGTGGAAGCATTGATTTCTGAAGTGCTGTGGAATGGATGGCTGTGGAATTTGAGTGCAGATGAAGTAACTAAATTATAAAGCAAAAAAAAGGTAATTTAGGTTAACTCAGAGCACAGTAATAAGTTGGCTTGGATAATTAATTTGGATTTAGAGTTGCTTAATGTCTCTTGGCGTTTGCAAATCCCAGACGGACTTGTGGAATGTTTTTGATTGAGAAAAGATTCTATTGGAAACATGTGTGACTGTGCTTGTGAGGGCAACAATATCTGCAGAACAATGCAACATCTGTGTATGAACGTCGGCAGGCAAGAAGTCTTGCTGTAAACACAACTAATGCAATTTTTGTGGCATCTTTTGTTAGCATGTCTTTTATTTTGGAACAAATCACGAGGCTGCAGGGGGAAATAAATGCTGTTCTGTAGAAACCTCTACCTGTTCGAAATGGTATTTAAGGGCATTACGCTGACAAAGCTGGACTATAAATCTATTTTTTAGACTAATATCAGAGTTGTTATTTAGGTGTAGACCTCAGATTCTCAGAACTTCTGAGAACTGTTCAGTGTAAAATAAAATACTGGCCGGGAATCCATTTCTTGTCATTTGTCTTGTTATGTGTTTGCATTAGAAAGTGGTGTTTGGTGTTAGGGCCAGGATTTCTGCAATGGAAGTGATTTAAAAATGAAAAATGAAGAGCATCACTGATCTCATGTTAAGATACAGATTTCTGTTGGTGTAAGAACCTGTGCTGCTAGAAAATGTCTAACTGTGGTAATGGAAAAGATTAATAACAGTATAAAAAGTGATGTGAGCTTTGGAAATTATTTTTAGTGCCTTTGATTCAATGAGACTAAACTGATTTGTATTATTATTATTCCTTGCAGGACCAGTTTGACAATTTAGAAAAGCACACGCAGTGGGGTATCGATGTCCTGGAAAAATACATCAAGTTTGTCAAAGAAAGAACAGAGATTGAACTCAGCTATGCAAAGCAGCTTAGGTAAGTTGGTGTGCAAAGGTCTGCGCTTGGGGTTGCATCTGTTCTGCAGTCATCTGTAAGCTCATGTTGCAGTGGTGGTCATTTGCTCGTTTATAATGGTTGCTGGTAGGTGGAGAATAGTTTTAGTTTAAAGATCTGCAAGCTAATTTAACATCATGTTTTTATCTCTGATAGCAATCGTGTTCTTTGTAACGGAGAGGTTGTTTGGGCGGCTGAGGAGCATGCTAGGGCTTACTGGTGATGCACTCATGGTTAAGGGCTTGGGCTTTGGGGGACAGCATAGTAATATTTCCCATTAAACTATGACTGCAAATCAATTCTGAAGAGTTTAAGAATTCAACACCATGATGATAATTTGCTATAAAGGACAAACTTTAGGGTGATTTTTTTTGTTGTTTTTTTTTTTTTCTTTTTTTGCATGACAAGCTCATAAACAGCGTTAGAGAAACTGCAGGCCTGAAAGGCAGTCTCAACACTTGGAAATTTAGTCTGCATTTGAGTCAGATTGCAGCCTAAGATTTGTGCTTTGACAGTTTTACAGTCTTGCTGAAGTTCTTGCAGCGCGTCTCCTGAACAGAGCACAAATCCCATGGATTTATCTTGGGCAGCTAAATTACCAGAAGTTCTCGCTGGGTGTTTCCTGGGATGAACTCTGGATTGTAGGTTAGGGTACGAGGATGTGTGAACCTGCCCCAGAAAACTGGATCAGATGCAGGATGAATGGAGAAGAAAGGGGATGAAGAGCCCTCCCACAGTGGCTAGCTCTTAGCCTGCAAGGAGGAGTGGAGTAATGGTGGGAATGGTGGCTGTCTGGGGAGGGGAGCACAGGACTTCCTGAGCCCTCCAGTACATCCATACCTTTTGTTCTGTGTGATTAGGTACGTTCTAACTCCTCCCATCTTCTCATTATTGATAAAGAATGAGATCTGTGCTTCTGGTTGTTTTATATATATATATACACACACACAGACACACACAAAAAGCATGATGTCTATTTAAAAAAAAAAAAGCCCAGATTTTTATGCTTTTTTTAGAACAGCTCATGAGATGAGCAATGGCCTGTTATTTACTAGGGGCTGGTAGTTGATAAAGGCCTGCCTTTATGGTTCTGTGCTTTCTCAGGGGAATGCCACAAGGATTCCCCAGGGTATCTGCTATAGACGAGCAGGAAATTGAAAATGAGTTGTGCAGGAACAAATTGCTCACATCCTATGGAGATGAGGTTGAATTACAAAGGCAAAATGAGCTGGAAGAAACGTAGTATGAGTAAACCAGGAAAGCCCAGCACAGTATCTGTGTGAGTAAGTCTGTCTTACAGAGAATGACACCCTTGAATCTCTGAATTTCTTGGGATGATGAATTTTAGGTGTAAGGAGCATAACTGTGAAATCAAATGAATGAACAATATGTTTAAGGAAAACGGGAGAGAGTCACAAAGTGTTCAGAGGCTGTGAACCCCCAAGTTTCGTCTCTTATTCTGTCCCAGAATTCCAGAACAAACTTAATCTTGTTCTTTTTTTCCCTCTGTTTAATTGCGTGCTCATAGTTACATTTGTGCCTTCCCCCATGGGTAAGATTTAAAGACAAATAATACATTCATCCTTGAGGAGCCCTGAAACGCAGTGCTGTTTGGAGCTATCTGAGAGTTTGAAGTACAAAGGGAAAAAGGCAAAGCAGACCTGTCAAATGTTGAGATATAAAACAGTTCTGGCCATTAAAAATAAAAATAAATCATACATCTGCTTTTAATAAATTTCCTCGGGCCTGTGGCAAACCTTTTGTGTGTCACATCGATTTAGTACAAGGGCTGCAGTGGAGGGCTCACTCATTGCTGCATTTGGTTTTGAGCTTCAGCTGGATGTGGACACGTGGGGCACTGCTGCCAGTGACAGAGTGGCGCTCCCTTGTCCTCCTTATCTAGCTGCCTGCTGCACACAGACTGAGCCAAACTGAGAAAGTGCCAGAAGTCTAATGTGAAGATGGATAGGTAGCTTTGAGGGGGATGGATTCAAAGAAAGATGCCTTGCATGTCAGGATGCTTTGGGAATCAAGAACCTCTGATGTATGATAAATGAGGGAGGAAGAACAAGATGTCGAAGAAGTGGAAGTAAGGAAACAAAGAAGCAAGGTGGAAGGGCAGAATGGCGATGCTGAATGAAAGACAAACAAATGTGAATCAGAGGCAGGTGCACAGGCTAGCACAGTCTTTTCTGAATTGCTATTTTATTGCTGATCTGTCCTCTTATGTCTTAATTGCTTCTTTAATCACAGTTAGATTTGAAGGTCATTGCTTTATGAGCTTGAACCTGAGAAGCACCAATATAATGGTCATGACACTGTAGAACTGCCTGCTGAATTTCAGCATGTGAGAGTCATAGTGGCTCTTAATGGATTCAGTATCACTTCTGGATTCAGTATCACTTCTGGTTTTTTGTATGTATCCTGGTTAAAGCCTTGCATACTATTTTGATGGGGGGGAAAAAAAGCAGAGGAAAACCATAATTAAATCCAAATAAAAAGAACACGTTTTCTGAGTCCATTACAAAGTACACAGAAACCAATAAGAAGTTGAACAGAGTTGCTAATCCTTACTGTATTTTCTGAATCCTTTTCCTGTGAAAGCACATGCTTCCTGCTGGCTTTTACCCCAGCCCAGCAGCATTTCTGTACCTTCAGAAGCTCAGAAGACAATAGTTTGTATGTCAGGATTTACTGGGTGGCACAGTACTGAATGAAGGGAGGCATGCATTTTGTATGTGTGAAAATACCTTATCGTGCAGTCTTCAATGTGTTTCCTTGTTTTTCACTTTCCTCTTTAAGCAGATTTATGGAGGCCTTTCTGTGCTGCATACAGTATTTGTAAGACTTACTGTGACCTCACAGAACAGTTTGCACAATGCTTGCTGTGCTGATATTTAATTGAAACTGCTGTACACAGAACTAGAGAAAAGCTCCTTGTTGCAGAGCATCGCCTTCTCAGAGATGGCGCAGGCTGGAATGGAGATACTCACTTGGGGGCCTCCCAGGAGGAGTACTTATGTTTGGAGGAACACGTGTGTGTGCAAGTCTGACAGCTTTCTGGCTATTGCTCTGTTTGGGCAGATGCTGCTTAATTCCATAGGGGAAAAAACCATGAGTAAGAAATGTGAGGGAAGAGGACCTCCTGTTTCCCAGTGAAGCAGTAAAAACAGCATGCAATGGGGATTGGGTTACATCCCCGAAAAAGCAGGGTTAGCAGTGGTGTGTTTTGTTATGTTTTTCAATGAGATGCACTCCGGGAGCCCTCCAAAGAGTTTGCCATATACAGGCCACTGACATTTCTTAGTCCCTCTGAAAATGATTCCATCAATCCCACTTGAGTGTCATTTGGAATCAGTAAAAACAACTTGTGAGGTTAAAACAAATGGTTCCTATTTCACTGCGAGGTAACAGAGGCTGCAGGAAGGCAGAAAGGACTGAGGCTGAGTTTAGAGTGCAAGAGATCCCAGTGCTGCAGCTCTAAAAAGGTCTGCTGGGTAACATTTGTCAGCTCTCAGGTTTGCATGGTTTAAAACGTGTGGAGTTACATTTGCTATAGTCTATGCCTTGTAATTCTGAGCTTTAAGCATCAGCAAGGGGTGCTGAGTGATGGGCAGACAGTGCACACCCTTTAAAGCCTAGATTTGCTGCTGACTGGGAGCTCACATTTAACTTCTAGGAAAATGAAAGCTATGTTGTAAGGTAGATGTGCTAACCGAGGTATGTTCAACTTCTTTATTCAAGGTACAATCACTGGAAAAGCATATCAGTATTTTAAAATGGAGTCATTAGTTGGATATGTAGTGATGAGATGCAGTCATCTCTGCTAATTGGGATAACCGAATTTCATTTTACTGCCAGCATGACTTAATGATCACAAAATGATCCTGGTGCAGCTCCTCACAGCTTTACTAAGATTGCTTCTCTTCCTTGGAAGCATCCTGCAGGAGATGAGCAGACTTGCTTTGTCACGAAGGTCACCTGCAGGAAATGGCACCGTACTGAGCTGGCTGCTTTGGGTCTGGAGTGGCACCTTCTGCTGGGTGCACTTCTTAACCTTGTCTGAGGATCAGGAGAGGACTGTAAAGAGAACGGGACTTGTGCTTCAGCAGAGCTGGAGCTCGCGTGCATTAACTTCATGACTTGAGTTTATGAATTTCTCAGGTCCAGAACTTGTTGAAGTTATGCAAACTGAAGCACAGGTATGGATGGGCCCTCAGGTGCTGCTGCAATGCAGCCACGCTTCTGACAGGGCAGATAGCTGATGAATGCAAACCAAAACTGCAGTGTTTGTGTGTGCGTGCAAGAACTATCCGCTTAGTTTGAAGGGGATTTTTAATTGTATTTGTTTTTGATTTTAGGAATCTTTCAAAGAAATATCAACCCAAAAAGAACTCCAAAGAAGAGGAAGAGTACAGGTGAGTTCACGAGGTACTGCTAGGTGAGCGTGCATGATAGAGGAAGGGGGAGAAGGCTCTGTCACCTGCTGGGATTTGCCTAGTCAAGCAATGCAACACAGAGGTTGTTCTTGCTATTGAGGAATGGAGTTTTAAGCAAGTTTGGAGCTTAAGAGCCTAATAACTGTTCAGTTCCCTTTAAATGTTCTGGGTACTGTCTTTTATTTTTTTTTCTATGTACCTTAAAATCTTCAAGGCAGACTATTCAATCCTGGCTCTTTGAAGTGGATGACCAAATTCTGATTAGCTCCAGCAGCAACAGAAGCCACTGTTAATTTTAGCATGAAACTTGGGCAGCCTGTGCAAGTATTAAATTACTCAAAAGACTGACAAGGCAGATTAGTATATTACTTAAAGGATCATAACACCACAGGAGAAGTCGGTGGCTCTTGAAGGGTGGGAGATGCAGTTTGTACAGGCAGCGTCCCGGAATGGAGGAACACATGACTGGCAGCCACTGAAGGATGCTGCATCACCCATCTACCTGCTTCTGATTTAGGTTCAGATTGTGTCTCCCTGGTGGCCAGGGACTGATGTAGCATTTGCAGACAGCAACTGCAGGGTCAGAGCACAGCTCCTTTGCTCTGTGACACTGGAAATGCATATGGATGATAGTAAACCGTGCCATGAAAAACATTCCTTCCCTTGATCAAAGTTATTCTGTAAAGGGAACTTTCTAGAAGAGAAGCTTTGCAATGGATGGGCTACGTGTCAGAGTTGAAACCTTTTCCTTAGAGCACTCTGACTTTTTCTAAAATTACTCCACTTCAGTGTTTTGTAATTCATCAGCTCTGAATGAAGGCACCGCAGAACATTCTGACCCTGCAGCACTTTACTGCAGGAGGCTGATCTGCTTTCTTAGAGTCTAGCAGCAGACTTGAACCCTTGACCTTGAAATCTGAAGCATTTCACGTGAGTTTGGACTCCAGTCCAACTCTTTGGTTATACTAAGTTAGATTTTGGGTCAGGACCCCTTCCCACCTGCTGTGTACAGCTACTTGAGTCATTCACATTAACCAACACAATGGCCTTTTCATTTTGCTTTTGATTCATTTTTACTCACGTTGTGTGGGAATCAGTTATTGATGCTATTGTTTCCTAAAACGCTGATATTTACACAAGGAAGCTCGTATTACCAGCACAATGGCTGTTTTTATTTGTACTTGGCATTAGGAAGAAATGTCCCTTTGGATAGCTATACCATAAGTGATATTTTGATACCATTCACTCAATAATTTTGAGTTTACTACTAGGTTTTGTGGTTGGTTGTTTTTTAACACATCCTCATCTGCTGTAAAAGGCCAGTGCAGCTAAATGGCTCGCATGATGTGACACAGAAGATTCTGTGTCTCCTTTGACCTTTTAAAGGGGGTGTTCACCTCAGCATGCTTCCCCTGTGTCTCTAAATAACATCTGGGGGTTTGTCATGCGGCCTTTGGCTGCCTTGGATGCTGCATTCAGATAGTCAAAAATCTTGTTTTCAAGCTTATTGCCAGTCTGCAGTTCTGTCTTTGATCCCCTACCTTTTGCAACTGGGAGTCTCTTGAGGCCCCGCAGCTTGGCTGTGAATGGAGCTGCTTACATTGGTTTGGGTCTCTTTTCTTAACTATCTTTTTCCTGTTTTTTCTTTGATGCCTTTCACCCCTGTCACCATTCCTCTTTGTCCTCTAAACCTCTCCCCTTATTCTTTGGATCTTCACCTAAAGATGTTTTTATTGCAGGTGACTACTATTAATATTAATAGTTTTGCTAATGTGTACAAGTGCAGTGCTTCAGAGCAGCTGTCTTCCAGCTGACCAGCACAAGCAGAGGAATTTAAATGCAGCTCTGTTGGCTCACTGCTGAATGGGCCAGTGACATAATGTGCTGTTTTTGAAACTGTGTGCACAGATGTTCATTTCTCCCTTTAAAACACAGATGAAATGTTGTACTGGAGATTATCTAACGTGAACAAATAAACCTTGCAATGGGAGGTTTAAATGCAAAATGTATGGGTTTATGGTGAACACGTGGTGAGTGAACTCACTGTCTTTCTGAAAAGTTTGTAAATTATAGCTCATCTACATCCAGTTGGCACTTGGGAAAGTTGTCTTTTCTGCACTGTGCTGCCAAAGGCTGGTGGTTTAGGTTGGATTTTGCCAGGCAGGGTACATTGGTGACTCTGTGCCGTGGAGTGCAGGGCTTGAAAGAGTGTAAGTGGAAAATGGTGAGTAAAGATGAGTGCAGTGAAGTCCCAGAGCTGTGCTGATAAAACATCTGGCACTCTGAAAGTGCTGTATTTTAAGAGCTGATGTCAAACTGTCTAAATCAAGATTAATTTATCAGACAACTGTCAGTGTTTGGGGTAGGCTTTCTTCTGAAAAACTCTTTCATGTGAAACTGTGCTAATCCGTATTTAGTCTCATGCAGCAATTGTAGATGTTTAAGAAGGATTCAACCTCCCTTTTCAGTGTGTATTTCTGGAAAGAAAGGGACTAAAAGCAAAATGCATTTTTGTCCTCTGCAGGTACACATCAACTAGAGCCTTCCTAGCCACTTTAAATGAAATGAATGACTATGCCGGACAGCATGAGGTCATTTCAGAGAACATGACCTCTCTTATCATTGGAGAGTTAACTCGCTATGTGCAGGAGCTGAAACAAGAGAGGAAATCGGTAATGGAATGTTTTTTATTATTCACAACTGCTTGCTACGTAAGACAGATAATTAGTGGCAGCGGAGTTCAATGTTAAGCAAAATTAATCTGCAGTTAATAAACATGAGCTTCGTTAATGAACCAGGCATTAAAAAAGTGGGTTACAAGCCCTGGCCAAATCGCTGAACCTTTTGAATTATATGTTATAAAAGCAGACAGCTACGCCTTCAGGAGATGCCTGCTAAATAAGGTCAGAGACCCATCTGTGCTTAAGGCTCTGCTAGCCAAAAGCTTGTGTAGGGGAGAGTCCAGCAGCACCACGTGAAGCATGAAATAAACAGAGAAGCTGTATTACTAAACCGATGGAGACAATTAATAGGAAGTTGATTCATGTTTTCTTGCTTCTCAACCAGATCTGATCAACCAAACTTTCCCATTAGATGTCTGTTTTTAAGAACTACGGGGTCTGCTTTGCTTTGGTGCTACTGAGGAATCTTTTTCTTTAACCTGTCGCTCTTAAGACTGCTAAAATGAGGAGTTTGTTAGTACTTTATTTTAAACAGTGGTTTATGAGCCCGTGTGCCTGCCACCATGAACATTTAAAGCTGATGAATTTGCATGTCACCAACTCTGAAAGGCATTTAGTTGAGATGTGATGGCTTTTTTTCCCCTGCCTTGAACTCCTATCAGTGGGCACAAAATGCTGTTTGTAAGCATTATTGTTAAAAATACTTGTAAACCAAACATAAAATAGCTAAGCAAAGTTCAGCAGGCAAGGGAGCATCAGACAACATCTCTCATTTCCATACAACCCCTCATTTCCATACAGCCAAACTATTGCAAATTGAAAAGTACCCTTGCTGGTCCAGCAAAAACGTAAGCATTTATAAATAGCCCCAGTAAACATTAAGAGTACATTGAAGTGCTTTGCAAGACTCGAGTCTGAAAATGTCCATATTTTCCCAAGTTGAGTATGAGAATAAGCCTGCAATGGAATGTGGACACATCTTTCATTTGCAGAATGGTGGTGGTCTTTCAGGGGCACATTTGGCCAGCAGCATGGGGGTGTGTTTTGCATATAGCTGGGATCGGAGAGTGACCTCAGCCATTGCTATGACCTTTTGTTCTGGGTGAGTTCTGTACAATATGCAAAGCCACGAAAGTGAAAACCATCTGTGTGGTGTTTGCCTGTCACTTCTGATTTTGTTACCTGATTTTGAAATTACAAGGATTTATAAAGTGATTGGGATACCTAATAGATGTTTTAAATGGAATTATGAGGGGCTTGGTGTCTTGTAAAGAATGCAAGCACTAACTGTATTGCTTGTTTGTTTTATTTGTAGAGCTTTATTGTAAGTTTGGCTCACAGCATGAATGACAGCAAATTGTTTTAATATCAGTCCAGCAATGCACCATAGGAACAGCAAAAAGGATCTGGTGGTCTGTTTACCTGCTGGTGATAAGTCAGCTTTTAGCAGAAGGCAGCTGTCAGTCATGGTTGCTTGTTTTGTTCTTGTCACATGAATATAAACTGTGTGAATTATGAATCCTTGTCTGATTCCTTTGGACTTATCGTTTGCGAGCAAATGGTGTTGAAAAGGAAATTGCTTCTCCCTTCAGGCATATTTCATATCATAAAACACAAATGCATCAATCACACTCGGATCTGCACGGGAATTGTTGTGGAAATATCACAGGTCTGATGCTCTGGCAAAACCTCGTGAGATACGAATTGATGGATAGCTTGGAGTTTCTAGAAACGTTGCTGGCAGAGCTCTCATGCTCACTGTTTGATACATAATCAGCTGTTATGTAGAAGCTGCTGTGAGTAAAAGGTGATCCTTCCTGAGGGTAGGACCACAGAGAGGAGTTGGAAGACTCATATTCTTCAGTCTCTTATCATTTGGATTGAGTATTCACGTGTCTAAATACCTGTTTAAAAGAAAAAAAAGATCAATGTCAGTCAGTTCAGTTTTACTTTGCTGTGCATCCTTCTTCCATAGGATAGCCCCTCTGATGTTAGCCCTGCTGCAGGCTATGTGTTTTGTCCCTGCAGTCTCTGGAGTTAACCATCCACCCTGCCTCCTCTTTACCTACATTGCCTGTACGTAAGATGGAGAACTCCCTGCACTGTTTCAGTTCTTCCTTGCTCTCCAGTGAAGTGAAACTCTTAACAGTACAGTTCCTCACTTTCACTTCTTTCTGGAATCTCTTGCCCTTAGACAACACAAGCTATTGTGTTGTCATCAGCAAGGATCTTATTGCCTGTTTTCAAGCTAGAGCGTCAGTTCCAGGCTTCTCAAGAGAGATAATCTAGGTATTTTCTCAACCCTGGTTAAGAAAGACCCTCAATGCTGTGATGTCTCTGAATAGAAACTCATACATTCATTTCTGGATGATTTCAGAACTCTGCTCACTGGGTCTGACCCAGTCCTGTCTGGCAGCAGCTGCTCTCTGTCTCTAGGTAGCCACTGCTCTCACATCAACTTTGCTAAAAATGTCTTTGGGAGTCATGAACTATCCCTCTTGTTACTGCTTCTGCTTTCACCTCCACCTCCCCTCGGGCATCGGCTGGCTCCGTGCAATTGAGCCTGAAAGTAAAGTGCAAGCCAGCAGGTCTGCTGCAGACTGAACTGGTGCAGCACTGGGACCCTGTGGTTGGGGAGAATTTACACAGTGTCAATACGTTCCATTTTGTGTCGGGATAGAAGCAGAGCAGGGAATGAATGCATCCTTATGGATACTGCAGGGGCAAAAACGGTCTGGTTCTTCATAGTGGAGCATATGCACCCTCCCTGTGTGCATTCATCCTGGGGGTGTCAGAGAGCTTTCTGTTTCTTGCAGACTCTCAGGTGTTGATGAAAAGTAAATAATTGGAGGAATTCTGCAGCATTCGTTCATTCTGAATAGTGCCCTGTTCTGCTAATAGTCCTGTGGTTTTCAGCAGCATTTCTCATGGAGTGTTGCACTGTGCAAGCATGAAACAGGATGGCAGCATACAGCCCTGTCATGTGCACAATGGATTTTCCAAACTGAGCTATGGGTGTGCTTTAGGCCTTTATTTGGAGCACGGCTGCATTTTGTGCTGCAGAGGTACAGAGAAATGTTGCTGTCTTCCAGAAATCACAAACTCAATAGACAAAGTCTGTAGGATGAGGAGAAGATGTGTTGAAAGGAAGTGCTTTGCCATGCTTCAAACTTTGGATTGACTGCATTCAAGTTGAGCTTTTCTCAGCTTTTGTTCTGTTACCACTTACAGTTCATGGTCCAAAAGAACAGGGGTAGAAGTATTTAATTTAAATAGGATATCTAAATTAGGAACAAATAGTAAGTTATGTTGCCAGGTAGAATCTTGTAGGACCTGTTGATGACCAGAAAGAAAACTTTGGACACTGTGGGAGATTCTGAGAAGGTACCCAGCTTTGCAGTGTGACCCCAGCAAGGGCAAGGGTGTGAGAATGGACCACAAACCTTCAAATCACTATAGACATTATTGCTGGTGTCTTCTAGCTTTATGCTCCTTATTGGCCCTGTTCACATTTCCAGGTAGGCACGATCAGCTCGTTCTGTTTTCCTGGTGCAGCTAATGCAGTCTTTAGAGCCTGAGAAACAGAAGTCTTGGTCGTCTGTGTCTCACTGGCATGCACCACTCCAGGAGACAACTGAATTAGCATCAGCTTTGCTTAGATTCAGACTTGTTTCAGCAGAGTTGCATGTTGAGGTGAATAATCTTCACTCTGAAGACTGTGCAGGTGAAGGAGGCAGTGTCACAATATTAAGAAGAAACTGAGATGAACGTGCAAAGCTAGGAGTGTGTGTCATGTCACCGCTCACAGGACTCTTATGCTACGTTATCAGCAACGAGAATGGCAGGACCTCAAGACCATGTTGTTATTCTTGGGAACAACTAAATCTTAAGAGGCTGTTTCCTATCTTTGCTGTCAGGAAAGGAAAAGCATTTGTCAAGGTTTTCTGCGAATTAAGCTGGGAAAATGGAGGAAAAAATAATGTTCTCTGACTTCCGTCTCTATCAATGCTTTTGTCACTGGTCTTTATTTTAAGTATCGTTTGTGACAAAAGCGAAGATAGTTTGATAGAGATCAGGAAGCACTACATTGGTAGGACTGACTTTATATTGTCCATTCTTATGAGCTGAGGATGCCTGTTACAAAAAGTCAAAGGTAACTGGTTTCTGCACATGTAGTCTGGTTTGAGTGTGGGAAAACTGAAGGGAAAATGAAATGGCCTTGTACTGTATCATATCTCTTCAGATCTTGAACAGGTTGTGGTCAGATGAACAGCGTGCTCTGCGTACAAACGAACTAGAATAGTTTTTCTGACTGTATTGTGTATAATATATATATTTTTCTCCTCTTTATTTTTATAACTCAAACAGATGCTAATGTGCAGGTCTTAAATCTGACGGTGCAGTCAACTGCTGTTTACTTCCCTAAGAAAAGCAAGGCTTAAATTTTTAAATATATATTTTTTTAAGCCTTTCATAAGTCAGTAATTCCCTGTGGTTGGGTTTTGGTCCAGCACCATCAGCCCTGCTCTCATGCTGGTGTTCTGAGTGACTGAGGCAGTCCTTTCATTTAACACTGCCCAGGAGCTCCTCAGCGAAATCACTGCATTGCATGGTTCTGCGTAAGATGCTTCTCAGTACATCTTGCTTTTCTTGGAACGCTCTCAAAGGGTCTCTCAAAGATAAGTCATCTTCTACCATGCTTTTCTTGTCTGCTCTGTGAGTCTGCAGCTCTATCGGCCCTTCTGGGTACCAAGAAAACTTGGCAATCATCTCCCCCTGCTCCTTCTTACAGTGGTGTTGGCACTAACAGGCGTTCTATTGTAGGTGACTCTCTAGCTGCTCCCAGGGCTTTCATCAGCGTGGATGAAATCTGAGCCTAGCAAAAGTCAATGGGAGTTTTGTCCTGATTGCGCAGCAGCCGGGATTTCTCCACAGCTGTTACAAATGCAGCACGGCGACAAGGAGAGCGCTCCGACTGGTGTGGCTTGGTTTGGAAACGAAATGCTTGGCGTACAGTTGGTTGTTGCCTGGATTTCCTACTCATCCTTTACTGCAGCAGAACATTCCTTCAGCTGGGATCCTTTAGAGTGTCCCTAGTCATGGATGGAGGCACGTGAGTGGCCATTGCTCAGAGCACGCTGAGCATCCCGAGGACATTGTGCTTCAGTGCATGAGGAAAAAGGACAGCTGTGGTCACACAGCCAGCGTGGCTTGGGCTTTGCTGCTGTGTTTTAAGCTATTTAGTAGGTCTCATACTTGGATAAAGTAGTTTTCAGGAAAATCTCAAAGTTGGCATGGTGATTGCTAGCATCAGTCTCATAAGTGTAGATTAAAAGGTGGTTTGGGGAGATAAAGTAATGAACACTATCAAAAACAAACCTTTCACTGTGGTATTTTATTAGCAGTTGATGTGCTTGCAGCTCTCTGTGCGAGTGAAGGTTTTAGAGCCTTCTCCTTGTTACACTCCTTGATTTTCTTCTGTGCAGGTTTTGTAACCTGTTGTACCTCTGATTTTATTAAACCTGCCTCACAGATGTTTATTTTTTTTTCATCCAGAACTGCTTTTTCATGTGCATTTCCAATGCTGTCAATGTAGAAAGGAGCCTGGAGAAAACCACAGCACTTAAACAACCAGCGCCACTGTTGGAAATGTCTGAGTGGCTGCTTGGAGTGTGATTCATGAGCTTGGTATCTCGCTTGTGATCTGAAAGGCTTTAAATGGAAAGCCTGATTAGGGTGTATCAGTTTAGCTGTTCAATTTGGAGGAGGAAAGAAGTCTGTATTATATCAACTGTTCTAAATTGATTACTGTAATGTGCGTGACTGACTGGGATGGCAGTTTCCCATACCATTTGCTGAATCATTTGTTGAGTTCCTGTTTGCTCAATCACCATGTGTAGAATAAACCAATTATTATTGCATTTGATTAGGAAAAAAAAAAAAAAAAAAGAATCTTTAAATCGTGCACCTTGAAACCGTATCAAGAAGGAAATGATCTTTATTTTTACTAAATTAAAAAATAAAAAGAAGCCCAAACAGCTGAAAGGGCATTTGCTGCATCAGAAGATTTTAAAGTATGTAAAAGGAAATGGGATTGCGGAAGTTGAAGATAGTGAGGGGTTGGAGGAAGCTGCATGCTTCCTGTATGACTCTGAGCACATCACTGCACCACAGTCTCAGGCTTTTTTAACCATAAAATTGGGACAGTGACAACAAGGCAGGTAGCTGAAAGGGCATCAGTGCTATCACTGTATCTAAAAGTGATTTTTGGGGATGCAGAAATGATCCCTTGAGCATAAATGATTTGCAAAAGCAGAAGTGCTGGGCTTGGTACGTTTTTCATCGTGTGCAGCTCTCCTCCCCCAGCAAGGATGTATGGGTGTCAGCAGGGAGAACTGAGAGTTATGAATAGAGTTAGGTAACAGTTGAACTTAGGAAAACAAACAGACTGTTCAGGTGGAACCTCCAGAACGTGGTTCACCTGTGTACATCAGGCTGGCACTGCACACGGGCTCTATTTAATAATCCTCAGAAATGCCCACTTTATATCCCATTCCTGTAAAAGGACTTCTCAAAAATGCAGCAGAATATGAACAGCATGCAGCCTTCCTGCTCTCTGCTATGCTGGGATGCACTTGGGCCAGTTTAAGGTAATTCCCTAAGATGGAGTGGGGAAAGAAGATGGATGGCTCCTGCAAAAATGAGAATTACATTGCTGATTAACAACAAAGGAGTTTAAAAATAGGAGCTGAAGGCAGCTTTGTTACTTGATATGCTGTTAATTTCAAGTCCATCCTTCAGCCCTTGCATGCAGCTGTGTTCCGTTCAGTAACGGGGTGTGCTCTTCCCAGAGGCTCATTGGCAGTGCTGGGCTCTGTTCTGTGATCCAGTCCCTTCAGACCAGCAAAGTCAGAGGTGGAGGAGAGGGAAGCAGGCAAGGAGGGGCCGAGGGAGGCGGCAGGCAGGAAGTGCAGTGTGGAGGCAGCCAAGTTAGTGTTGTTTGTTTTGCTTCGCTGCTCAGGATTTCCACATGTTCCATGCTTATCAGCAAAATGTTTTAAAACGTGGCGTTAAATTGTAGTTGTTCCTTGGGATGGTTTTCTTAAGCTCTTAATTACAAAAGCAAGCCTGAAATTGTGAACATTTCAAATCCTCCTAGTAAGGAAGATACAGCCCACGGTCGCATGCAGCATTTACAGGAAATGGGAATCTACAAAAGGAACTGAAATCTGCTTGGAATCTTCCCCCACCACCCAGCAGTTTCACAGTCGTGTTTGCGATTGAATGTCATGGTGCAGTGACTGGGCTTTGGGGAAGCATAGCATGGTTTGAACTCCCCACGTATTGTCAGAGCTGATGACAAACAGGGCTGGAAATCAATTCTTGTCTGCATTGCCATCAGCCCCACTGCTGCACGTTGGCTGCTCACGGAAGGTGGAACTGTGATGGTTGATCTGAGTGCTGCTGTGCCCACAGTTAAAGCATCACTGACGTTGTGCCTCTCTCCTCTGCTTCAAGAATGGTTGTGTGGAGGTGGGCGCCATCCAGAACGTGAAAACTGTTGTGTCCCTATGTTCATCTTACAGTTACACACAGCTCCTTAACTATGGGGCTCAGGACTGCACCTAACACTGTCTGGAGTGATTGGGGCAGTGCGCTGCTTGTCTGTTCTTGCAGGCACATGGAGGCTTATGATTTTAAGGCAGTGGAAGTCTATTGGCATGGTGTGAGAGAATTGCAGTCCTGTGGCTTTCTACTTCTCATGCGTTGGGGCTGGCTTGCCTGGTGGAGGCTGAAAGGCAGTGGGGAGGCATTGCTAGAATGATTTACTCCAGAAACGTGCTGCTCTGACAGAGGGAACAACCTGCTGCTGCAGTGGGAAGTGCACAAAGTCCATCATGGCCAGTTGGAAGGAGACTGCCTGCAGCACTTGATGACTTTAGTGGTTTGTGGAAGGCTTCTGTTCTGAATTAGGGGTTTCTCTAACCTGACACATTGACATTGTGTTACTTGAGACGCATTTACCATCTGATTCTGCACGTGCCAGACAACGCGTGCCTGTTGCAGGGATTAATTGGCAATGTCGGACCTTTATTGTTGAAGTTTACTCTGTAAGATCACATCTGTGTTTGAGTAAAGCATCCTACTTGTTAGTAAATAACGCAGTGGGCAGGCGTCTCTCTTGCTATTCTAGATTGTTATTTATTTTGCAAGGTGCTTTGTAAGGAGAGCAGCCTGTTGTAACAGTTGGCTGGGTGCTACGCTCATATTCGTGGTCCCTATTTACAACTGTGTCATTGATTTATGCAGTGATCTTTGACAAATTGCTTACCCTGAGGACAGGTGAGGCGTGCGGGGGGTAGAGGGAGGAGTATCTGAAGCATATTAGGTTCTCTGATGAAGACCATTGTGTAAGGGCTAAGAACTGCAATTTAAACTGACTGTAATTAATATAATTATGAGCCTTGCTCTAAAGGGCGTGTCAGGATATGTGCCTTGTCACTCATATTTCAGAGCTTCTCTAACACCATGGTGTGCACACGGTGTATGGGAGAGAATGGTTGCTGGGGGACCCAAACTATTGAATATCTCTAGAGAAACCAAGAGTTGGATTTGCAGATATTGAGGGAGTAGGAAGGCGAGGTTTACTGTTGAGTCTGAGTGGAAGTCAGGGCCAATAGCAGTTGTTAGAATGTGCTAATCAAGGGCATCTTGGTAAATTCCATGCAGAGAGAAATTGTGATGTAGGGTCAATGTGCAGTCAGTAACCAGAGGGATCACATTCACCTAAAAGCGCTTCAGATTTCATAGCGTGAGAAACCAGTAATTATGAGATACAGTGAATAACGCAAGGTAGAATTGCTAAAAGGATTAATTGGATTTAAGCTAACTAACCACTATAATAAATGCAAATACACATCTGCAGCCTGCTGAGACATCAGATAGTCATCATCCACCTGCTCAATTTACCAGGGTTGCAGAACACAACTGTCAGAATAATTTGTTTTATTCTGGAAAATTATATTCTGTTCTTCATTGCTTGTGAGGAGGCCCTTGAACATAATTGGCAATTTGGTCCTTTGTTGTTGAAAATGCTTCCTTTTCTCTTTTTCTAAACAGCACTTCCACGATGGCAGAAAGGCACAACAACATATTGAAACTTGCTGGAAACAACTTGAAGCTGTAAGTGGAAATTTCCTCAGCTGTGATGCTCAAGTCATTTTTATACCGTTTTTGCAGTGTTCCAGAGTTCATATTTAGAAAACAAAGGGTGGATAAAAGCTGGAAAATGTGATCTTTTAAAACTTCACTGTCTAAAATACAACGGTAGGCATGGCAGTTTGTTTAGAGTGCTTTTGGCTTTCCATGGGGTCTGTGTGTTACAAATAGCATTTTGTTGCGTCTGACTTGAAATGCGTGCTGAGCATTAATCGAGGTGCAGCGTCCCTGAGGATCCTTTTCAGATATTCCTCCATAAGCTGAATAGCTCCTCCTGCATGCATAAATCAAGTGCTATCGTCTCCTGAGTAAATGCCTGTTCCTCAGAAGTAAATGCATTGGTTTGGACCTCAGCATTCATTATGAACTGGTGAGAAACTGTAGGTGGAGAAGATAAGGAAAGGGGACATTGGTAGCTAGAAGCCCTGCTTGTGAATGAATGCAGCTTAGAAACTCCCTTGTTGTGTATTATAAAAATGAGAGATTTAAGTGTTGGAAGGAAGCGATCTGGTAAACCAGAACAGAAGAAACACTAATAGGGAAAGATATTGAAATAGCAGAGATGTTATGAACGAAGATGATATGGAATGAAGTAGTCTGAAGCATGGAACAAAAAATGTTTTTGTTTTTAACATGGAAATGTGTCCCAGTGTAAACAAGCGAGTCATAGAATCTCCTCAGTTGTTACAGCAGATATTTTAGGGGTTGGCTATTGACTTTTAAGTGGATTTTGAACTTGTGTTTTTCCTTACAGAGTAAAAGGCGGTTTGAACGTGACTGCAAAGAAGCCGATCGAGCACAGCAGTATTTTGAGAAAATGGATGCTGATATCAATGTTACAAAAGCAGATGTTGAGAAGGTAAGCCAGAGGGTAGAGAAACTGTCTGTGAAAATTGTTGTGATGGGTTTAATTCCTCGGTCCTGCTGGTAGTATAAACCTTCTGAGGCTTAATGCCTCACTCCGTAGCTTAATTAAAATAGGGAGGTCTCCCCAGCTGCTTGTATTTGCATACGAATTATAAATGCAGGCAGTCAAATTTCTTCAGTAAGATGGTATCAGAGTTTAACGTAGCTGATGTGGCTCTGAATACATTTATGCAAAATGGGGTGTTAGTTAAAATCCAGAGTTTTTAACAGGCGTGTGAGTGCTCGTCATTGCTGTGTGATCCTGGTACAATCCAACTTCTTTCCATGCTGAGCAGTGCTTCAAAATGTCCTGGTGTCACTGACTGCAGTGATGTTCTACCAGGAGTGTTGATTGTGGTCCTCATTTACAACAGGACACCTTTTCACTTTGGTGTTTGCTTAAACAGTGCAGAAATGCAGACCAGAATATGATGCGTAAAGCTAGTCTTGTCTTCACAGAAAAGTTTGGTTCACAAGATACTAGATAGAATATTGGACATGTTTCTTTCTTTAAAAAAAAGCTGAAATTTATTTGTACCAAACGTCTTGCTGCAGATTGGGAAATGAAATTAAACTACAGGCAAAAAAAAAAAAAAATTGTGGATTTTGCTCTTCAAGAAGTTTGCTTCCATTCTGTTATCAGTGAATTCAGCCTTAGGAAGCTATCAAATGCACCCCTGGGATCTGAAAAAGTTTCTAGTATGCTGAGCATCATGGAGGTTGTGCAGCAGTTAGCATCAGGGCTGCTATTAGGAAGAAGCTCAGGAAATCTCAATGTTGCTGGACGTCAGAAGGAACGAACAGCTACGTGCTCTTGTCATTTGCTGCTTGGCTGCTAGCTGAAAACTCGCCCTTCAGATCTGATTATCTGTCACCTTCTGGATTTGCCAGGGCACTCTATGGATGGACGTGTGTAGGGGGTTTTCAGAGATGCAAGGCCACATGCAGGTTTTTCTGGCAGAGAAGGATCATCTCTGCCTTAACTGTATAAAGTGATTCTAAAATACATTATTTGAGAGATAAAATTAGGACTTACCCTAGATTTTTTTCTAAGCTGAGGTCATGTTAAAGGAACAGAGACATGACTTCCACTGTAGGGGGGAAAGTAGGGGGCTGAAACTCCTTAGTTCTACCTTTAATGCGAGCCTCTTCTCAACAGAGTGAAAGGTCGTGTGTTAAATTCAAGGAAGCAGCATTTACCCTTACAGGGTGCTCTTTCCCTATAAAGTAGAGCAGAGGGGCTTCCCTTCTGAATTTCTCTGGTTTTTGGTTGTTTTTATAGCGTGTATTTGTAAATCACTTATTGCAAAATGAAGCTCAGCAGCATCTCGAAAGGCAGAAAAAGCCTGTAGCAGCGATGTGTGTTGGCTGGTCTCTGGAGAAGGCATTAGTCGGCTTTCCAGTCAGTCCGTGGAGTAGATGGAGAAGGAAAAGGTTATCAAAACGAGTGGAATGTGAAATAATATTACTGAACAGAGAGAACAGTGTTTTCCAAGTGCATGTGTTAAACTGGGTTCATCCATGCCAGGCTGTGAATAATGCCCTTTCTTTGCTGCTCTCCACCCACGTGACAGGCTCTGCCTTACGTAAGCCCCCCAGAAAATAAGATATTGTTCCCCTGGAGCTGCTGCCAGGGCTGCGCGGGACTCGCTCCAGGGAGATGCAGAAACTGCTGGTTTCCAATGATGACTTTTCCCTCCTTCTATTGCAGCAGTTCTGATTTCTCTTGCCCCTCGCAGCTTGGCTGCTGCGGTCTTGCTCCCGAAAATCCATCTGGCCAGGAAAGCAGACGGCCTGGCTGTGTTCAGAGCCACCACCGCTCGCTTTGGCTGACCAAGGTGCTCTTCAGGCAGTGGGATATGTTGTCCTCATTTCTTGGGCTCGAGATGGACACCTTGGCTGCTTTTGCTTGTACCTGCCAATATCAGCAGGCGCCAGAGTTATTTTTTGTGTCGTGCATTATCGAGTAATGGAATTAAAATCCTGCAGTGATCACAATGACAGATGTGATCAGAAAAATGTTGCCGCAGATCCCTCATGCACTTAGTGCTCCACTGAATGAGGATCTCGCCTGCTTGCATCTGTCCATCCTTAAATAGCAGTAGCCTTCGACAACCGCAGGAAGCGATTCTCTCAGTAGTGCTGCCAGCTACCAGCATTTAACATGGCCTTGCTGAAGGGATAGCTCTCACTATTACAGTTTGCTAGGGTTATGTATGCAGACTAATGATACAAAAGCAAACAGAGAAGACTTCCCTGCTTCTTTCTCTGGGACTATTCAGCAAAATAACATCTGGCACCAAAGCCCAAACTGCTCCCGGGGAACCACCAGCTCCAGTTCAACACACAGCACGCAGTGCCATCTGTGCTGCTCTGTTGTCTGCTATGGCTGCCTTCATCTCTGCTGCCAGCCAGGCTGCGGTTGATCTAAGGGAGCTGGAGTTCAGCTTTGCTTCCTGATGTTTCCTTTTTTGGTGTTGGTAACGTGGAGCCAAGGGGCTGTGTTCAGGTGTCAGCAATGCTCCCGGGCTTTGCACAGCAATGAAATCAGAGGAGGGGGTTATGGCCCTCGAGTTCCCCTTCCTGTGTTTGCATTGTCAGCATTCAGAGAGAGAATGTTAAAGAGTGAATGTACAGTTTGGCACAAAGGTTTTCTCAGTGCAGTTCAGCAAAGTCAGAGTTGCTGTGTTGCAAACAGCTCTACTGTGAAAATATTGCTATAAACTAAGGAAACGGTGTAACCTGCTGATGGAAATCCTGGGAAGGCTTGTAGGTGTCACTGTGAGCTTCGGTTTCCCTTGGCTCGCAGTGGGATTTGTGCTTTTAAAACAGTTCTCTGTCAAAAAACCGCAGTGGAGTTGCTTCAATTTTTTGACCATTTGGGGAAATGGTCTCTGTCACCAGCGCAGAGTCAGTGTACTTATAAGGAAGTGCTCTATTGTTCGTTCCTTCTCTTTAGAGCTGTAATCACTAAAAAGCTGACATCTTTATGGGATGATGTGGTACCCAGCGGTGCCTTTGCAGAGTTCTTGCAATAAAAAATAAAACAACTAAAAAAGGCTGTTATTTCTGAAGATTTGTTTTTCAAAGTAGATTTTTCAAAATCTGTTTTTAGACAGGAAGTGGTTGGGGCCAACCGTACAAAGGGATGGGATGCTTCTGCCTCTTGATTTGCACAGCAGCTTGGGGGGCAGGACAGCAGTTTGAGGTTGAGTTTGAGTTACCCTGTGTCAAGTAGAATCTCTCTTTGCTGAAGAGTAGCACAGTTATATATTGAGGACCAAGTAATGATTCTGCTAGAGAAGAACTTCAGCTGTGTGCAGCAGAAAATGAGGTATATGTGAGTTCCCAGGACAGCAGCCAGGGAACAGGCTGCTAACAGCTTGGTTTGGGTCCTTTGCTCCTGGTATGTGAGGAGGGTTAGGCTTTAAGTGGTTTTAATATTAACATAAATGTTTCGTGGATCTAGAAGGCAGTGAAAGTCTTAGAAGAGCCAGTTTGACCTTAATTCTCAGAATTCAGTAAGGTCCTGACATTGCTGAATGCTTGGGGTGGGATTTTTATTTTGCCGTGCTTTTGATCCACTCAGTAAGTCTCAAACCTGCACCCGGAGAGCTGCAGTGCTTGTTTTCTTACATGCTTACTGCAGCTGAACGCAGGCAGTTCTAAATGCAATGTTGCCTGCGTTGCCCCTCTTATCCATAGCAGACACGTCCATTTATACTGCACTGGAAAGTCATGAGCTGAACCATTGGCAGTGCCTTACCAAACACAGATGTAGAACTACTGCTACTTTGAAACATTCTTGGAATAAATTGATCTTCCTGCCTTTGCAAATGCAGTTCTGCTGTCAAGTGTTAAACTGCTTTTCCAGCAGCCAGGCTGCTGCGCTGCAGGACGCAAATCTCCTCATTAAGAATTTACACATCCTTACAATGAAGAATGAACTGAGTTGGGCCCCCAGAGAAATCTCTGATTGTGACGCTGATAGCATCAGTGCAAACCTTCAAATATCATTTGCAGCATGCTTAGTCACAGAGCAGAGCGGGATGAAGCGTGCATCATTGGAGCATTGCAGACAAACCAAAGCAAACTTCTTCAGCTCTGTGCTGAATTGTTGCAAAGTTTTGCCCAGTGAAGACTGGGCAGTAAACTGCAGCACAGCCAGAGGTGGTGGGTGCCCTCCTTCTGCAGACCGTGGCTGCTTAATTAGCCCTATCTATCAGGACATGCTGTGCAATCCACCCTACAGCAGTGGGGTTTCCCTCACTTGACCAGCTGGAGGTACCTACGCTTGGGAAATGCAGTGCCACAGGAAGATGATGATAGGAGTTGGAAAAACCCTGCAGTGTTTCTGTTGCTGGTGTGGTGAATACTTCTACTTGCTGCAGTAAATGATTCCAGAGGCTTTGCTTCCATGCTTTGCATGCTGTGAATTCACAGAAGTGCAGCAGTGTCTGAGTGAAACATGTGGGTGCAGTGAGCACAGCTTAGTCCTGCCCACAGCTCCAGAGGGCCCTCGTCTGTGCTTTTCTTGTTGAGAGAGGTGGATGCTGCATAAGACTCGTGTTCTTAGCACAGTGATGAGATTTCATTATGCTCACTAGGCAGCTGCTTTCCTTTCTGTCCACTGATGGCACTGACTGAACCCTCCTGTATCTTTGCTTGTGAAGCAGATCCAAATTCCAAGCAATTCAAGGGCAGTCTTTTCTTGGTAACATGATTTAAAGCCATTAGATTGACACTAACATAATCTCCCTGGTTTATGCAGACCCTGATCTCCCTTCTGAACTGCATCATCCTAATCAGCAGTGCAGTGTGGAGGGAGTCCCTTAGCACTGTATTTGCATTTCTGGTTGGGTAAGCCTTGTTTACAACCTGCCATCAGCAGCACTCTGCGATGATGCAGCAGCTGTTTCCCTTTTGGAACCGTGGCTTATTTATGAGCTTCGA